CGGCGGGGGGTGCGGGGGGGGGGGGGGGTTGCTCAGGCCAGAAGGCAGGACCAGAAGACTGCACAGAAACCTCTGCCCCCACTCCTGGAACCCTGCCAGAGAGGAGATGCCTTTTGGCCTACAAGGAGGATTTGAGGACTGGCACTGGCCATAAGGTAAATTGAATTTGAGACCTCTGCCCTCACGAATTTTGTCTTTACCTGCGTAATCTTAGTTCTTACCTTTCTATTGTCTCTTTCCTAGCCAGCTACTAACTTCTCCTTTTTAAACCTCTGCCCCCACTCCTGGAACCCTGCCAGAGAGGAGATGCCTTTTGGCCTACAAGGAGGATTTGAGGACTGGCACTGGCCATAAGGTAAATTGAATTTGAGACCTCTGCCCTCACGAATTTTGTCTTTACCTGCGTAATCTTAGTTCTTACCTTTCTATTGTCTCTTTCCTAGCCAGCTACTAACTTCTCCTTTTTATCTACCCTTTTCCTCACTTCATTCTAACCAAATTGCATAACTAATAACCTCATTATTTCCTTCAGCTATTCTTGCCTGTCCATCTTCTTCCATGTAGCCCCCTTGACCTAAAACTCCTCCCTTTCATGGTTCCAACATCTTCTCCAAGTACCTCAAAGGTTTATGATTCTTGATTAATTATCAATATAATTTTTTAATTATGACTTGTATTCCAGTAATAACCAGTGTATTAGGCACTGTCCACTCCCAGAGAAAAACACAGTCCTTTTCATGAAAAGGTCACCATCTAAAACTGAAAGTATTTTTAAAAAATACTAAGGGGCTGTGCCCCTGCTTACTGTATTTGCCAACCCCAGCTCTCCCCCATGGCCATCAGGGAGGGCCGGGCTGCAGCCACAGCAGCCCGGGCTCCTTCTCTGTCCCCCCGGCCAACCTGGGCCCCTTCGCCCTCTCCCGTCTCCCTCCAGCCCAGGTCCCTTCTCCCTCCCCTGCCACAGTAGCCTATGCCCCCATTTTCCCTCCTCCCCCTGCTGCGCCAGCCTGGGCTCCTTTCGCCCCTCCCCAACGAGCCAGGGTCCCTTCTCCCTCCCTGCCCCACCAGCCTGGGTCCTTTCTCCTTCCACCCATGCTAACACCCCCTCTCTCTCAGCCACAGCATGTGCCAGGCCCAGCTCTAACCCCAGCGGCCAGGAAGACGCAGGGGTGCCTGTCTGCCCCAGGTGGGGTGCAATGACACGCAGGTATTGCCATGTGCATGCGGCACTCCAGGGTACTGCAGCCTGCTGAGGTAGGGAAATCAGCTGCACAAGGGGTTGCTGTCCCAACCTGTCCCCTGTACAGTCCCCCCCTCGCTGCTCCCTGCCACAGCCCAGCCCGCAGAGCTCAGGGCCACCCATCCACTCTCCAGGAGCAGCAGCACAAGGGGTTGCTGTCCCAACCTGTCCCCTGTACAGTCCCCCCCTCGCTGCTCCCTGCCACAGCCCAGCCCAAAGAGCTCAGGGCCACCCATCCACTCTCCGGGAGCAGAAGGGAAGGAGCAGACAGTTTGGTGCAGCGGCTCTCCTGGGCGGCTTGGGAGTGCTCTGGCAGTTGCGGTAAGTACAGCCACTGGGGAAGAGTGAGTCTCTGCAAGGGCAGTAGGACTCCGGGTGGTCAGGCACGGCACTCCCACTCCCTAAGAGCACACTGCTGGCACATAAGCCTGGCTGAGAACACCACTCCTAGCCTGGCCCCGGGCTGCTGTCCCAAACACCATACCCTCCCCCTCACTCCGGGCTGTCACAGCTGTGATGTGGGATCTGTCAACTACTGTGCCATGTTTCTTGAAGTTGAAATCACAGTGGGGTGGGATGTGGAGGAAGGGGAGAAGGGTCTTTGTTTAAAATAGCAATTTCAAGTGGCGAGGGGAAGCAGCAAGGTTGGGCTCAAGCTGGGAGAGGGAGGAGACAGGTGGGACACAGAATGACATGATGACATCACTCAGTCATCCCTCAGGATTTTTTTTTTAAATATATAGATTATATTTTTTTAAAATCAACAAAAATTGCAACATCTACAAGACTCATACATTTATTATTTTATCAAAATATTTTATCACACCACTTCTGCTCTTTTTACTGTTCTTTTTCTTTGTAAATCCTGATCCACTAAGGTACTGACTCATGTCTAAGAATACTACAACCCCCCCCCCCCATTCAATTCCTGTTGCTTTCAATAGAAGATGAAAACATTTACTACCTTAAAGAATCAGGCCTTTAGATTGGAAACTCGTGGGGACAGAGACAATGAATTTTCAAAAGTGCTTAAGTGACATAAAAGCAAAAGTTTCACTGATTACATTAAGGAACTATTTAAAATGTGCCTATCAAGCACTAAGCATGCTATTGTCACTGTACAAATAAGAGTTATTCATTATTATAAGCCCTTTTGTCTTTTGTGGTTTAGGAGTACCTTGTTAATTTCATCTTCCTGATTTGGTGGTCTACAACAGTGGTTTTCAAACTTTTTTCTCATGACCTAGTTAAAGAAAATTGTTGACGCCCGCAACCCACCATAATTTGACTTGAATGTGGGTTCCAGGATGGGGCTGAGGATGAGATCTTTGGCGTATAGAAGGGGTCCGTAGCTTTGAGGTGGAGTGGCTTACTCTGAGCATCTGCTAATTAGTGGTTCAGTGGGGCTGCTAAGGCAGGATTCCTGCCCTTCCTGGCACTGCAGACTATGCTGCGCCCCAGAAGCAGCCAGCAGCAGGTTCCCAGACAGTGAGATTGCAGAGCTAGTGCTTGGGTCAGGTGCAGCCCACAGAGCCCAGTGTGCTCTCCTAACCACCACCCTGGAGCCAAACCTGCTACTAGACAGTTCTGGGACACAGCGTAGTCTGCAATGCCAGGACTGACATGTAGCCAGCCATCCTGGTATAACCCCCACATTGGTCACCTGATCACCCTGCAGCACTGAGACCCAGTGCCTAACATTCCATGATCCAGTACTGGATCGCAACCCGTAGTTTGAAAGCCACTAATATACACCAAACCTTCACCATTGACTCTTTACTTCATCTTACCTAAATATTTTTAACTTATATTGAACATATCCTGAATTCATCTTCATCTGAGAGCGTGCATATGCATTATTAATACATATATCACATCAACAGGGTAGTAAATATTTTTTTTTGAAATATTACAAAGAATAATTATAATTACCTTCCATACCAAAAGTCTTTGAAGCATCAGGAAATGACTGTACTTTAACTTCTTTTCCATCTTCAGAAGAGGAAAATATCATTTACACTAAAATTTGAACATTCAGGTATATACATACTAAATTTATTTTTCCATAACTCTTTTTCATCTTTTTATATTTTTAATTGCATTACCATAAATGTCAACTTTCTTCATCCCGGTGGAACTCTGTAATCTATATTTGTGTATGTATAATCCGTTGTTTTAAATAAGCTGCAAAAGTCTCAACAGAAGTTTTCATATATACGTATTACAGTTTTCTCAATATCTTCCCAACAAAAATATCACATTTTTGATAATACAGCGTATTACAAATACTAAAAAACAAAATTTATTTTTTTTCTCATGAGTGTATCTAAGTTTGCTTGATTGAACTGAAATCTGACTACCTAGAAAAGAGTCTAGACAGATTTTTAAGGACTCAATCACTATGGATAAGCTATTAAATCCACCTATCCTTCCCTTCGAAGAAATATTCAATCTTAATGGTAGACTGCCAATTACTGGGCAAATGAAAGAGTGAAATTTAAAGACCTGAGGATTGGAATAGCTGGACACACAAGTATTGTTTATATGTATGTCTGCACCTCTTGGACAGCAATGATGCTGGATGGATGGCTGTTTTTTCTAGTGTATTATTTGGCTTTTGATGTCATACAACAAAAAACAAACTAATGCTATATATAGGGGCATTTGTGCTAGTTAGTAATTTCCTTAAAATAACAAAATCAGCTCCATGCTTAACTTTCTCATAGAAGGGTTGAGCTCTGGGAAAATTTAATTAAGGTACTAAAATATTGCCAGGAGGAAATATCTGTTTTTAATTACATGCAAAATAATAATAGCATTAGTGCCTGGAGCTCTATTAAGTACTTTCATTTCCAGGATCAAAAACTCAGTCTTTGACAAATGTATCTGAAATAATAATATGATTCTGATAGTTGATGAATTATGATAATTGACTAGAAACATACACTTTTTTTAATGTTCAGCTGGTACTTTCATCATCAACATCTGCTTGAAAGTTAATTAATATTTTATTTTCTGAAATATTTCTACCAGGTTGTTGACAAATCCTGAATCCATTTTTTATCTTAATTGTGGTCAGAACAGGAAAAAAAAGGAAATCAATTCCAGACTTTCATGTTGCAAATGATTAATCTTCTTCTCCTAAACTTAACCTAAGTATTTCATGCTTGTTACAAATCAAGTCAAAATGGATGGACAGGTACTGATGATTTAACATTTACTTCTTCAACAGCGCTCTTAAAATGTGATATAAACTTCTGCCTTTATGTCTCACCTATAAAAGTCAACACATTATTCCCTATATAATATTCAGTCAGTAAATTAAACCACTGCATAAAACAGGACCAAGTTCACGTAAATTATCTGTTGGACCATGCTATTTTCTCATAAGTACTCTATCATGTACACTGGTTTTCAATGCAGATGTATCTTATGCATCATGCGGTCAATAGAAAACTTACAAAAACTGGTCTACTTGCTATGCTCTAATGGAGCAGAAAACTCAAAAAGCTACATAGCAGGTAGAAAGCATCCCCTCTCCCCCTGCCCGGCAGATTTCCCTTGGTCACAAAAGACCTTTTAAGCTTCATACTTAAGAATCTTCAAGATCTAAAGGAATCAGACACTACCTTCTCACAGTAAAAACCCTGAAAACTGAACAGACATATGAAAGATGACAGGGTACTGCAGGAGATATGCAAATTATAATTTAGTAATATGATTAGCATGAGTCACAGGTTGGAATAAGTGTGAAGACAAAGGGATTCTATACAGACAGACTTGGTTTTTACTAGATATCCAAAGATATGTACAGATTCTGATCATTCCAGTGATTCAGAAGTACAGACCCATTTCTTCCAACCCATTCTTTCTTTCAGAACAATTTGGAGGACACGTCAGGATTGGAGTCTTGTGGTGTTTCATATTCCCAAAATGGGATTTTCCTGCACGGGGGGGGGGAGAGGGGGGACAGTTTGGGGTATATGTGTAATTAATGAGTAAGAACAGCAGAATTTGGCCAAGTATTCATCATCCTATATTTCAAGTCATATTATGAATATAAAAAACATGATAGCCAGTATAGTTTGTTAAATACAAACATTTGCAAATGTAGGAAACTATATTAGGATTATTTTTGTACAGAAGCATATGAAGCACCACAAATAGCACCGCAATTCAAGATACACACACAAAAAGTCTATCAGTCACAGCAGCTGAGAGCTGTACAAGTTGATTTTATGATAGTATAACACCAGGAGAAAATCCTGGTGTTACACATCATAACTTTTTCTCCTGGCAGACACTCTGTATTCTCATTTAAAATAATTATTTATTGTAAATCTTTAGGTCAAATTCTAAGCTATGTCTTCTGAATGAAGCAGTTAGGAAGGCAGAGCCTGAAAGGGGTAAATGGAGAATGGAAGGACAAAGGTTGTTTTATACCACCTCACCTTTGATTTTTTGAACACTGGGCTTATGTGAGGGCTATCATAGGGTGCATCTAGACTGGCAAGATAATTGCGCAAAATCTTGCCGCCTGTCTACACTGGCTGCAAGTATTTGCGCGGTTCTTGCGCAAATACTCCGACACTCCCGCTCAGGGATAAGCCTTCTTGCGCAAGTATTCTTGCGCAAGAGGGCCAGCGTAGACAGCCAAGTTAGCTTCTTGCGCAAGAAAGCCCGATGGCTAAAATGGCCATCGGAGCTTTCTTGCGCAAGAGAGCATCTACACTGGCACTGATGCTTTTGCGCAAAAGCAAATATTTTGCGCAAAGGCACATGCCAGTATAGATGCTCTCTTGCGCAAATACTTTTAATGGAAAAACTTTTCCGTTAAAAGTATTTGCGCAAAATCATGCCAGTCTAGACGCACCTATACTGTTACAGCTACCTCCCATGGTAAAAGCCAAAAGCCACAAGCCAAAGTAAACAGAGTCTGGTCATGCCTTGCTCGTCTCCACAACACCACTTTCTACCCTGGAATACCTCTACATCAGGGACTGTGCATGACCACCATGAAATCCTAAAGTAAACCTTCTGCACTCCCAGCAGAGAGGATATGCCTAGGCTTCACTCCCTTGCACCACTAGAACACAAAAAAAGCACACTCATACCCCAGAAACTGAGCTATTATTATCTAAATAACATATTTAAAATACTTCATGTGAGCACCAGTATATTTCAAATTAAAAAAGAATGTGAAACAATTTACCTAGATAGTTATTTTTTTCCAATTCCTTCTGTAACTCCTGAGTGGCTGCAATTTCAGTAACAGATGGAGCAGGTGCAAGATACCAATTTTTTGGCTCTTCATGTTCTAAATATCTGCTAATAACACAAGTTCATGAGATAAAAATATTCTGTATCCATTTGCCACCAATTTTATGTCAACACTAATAAGTACCATATTGATTCTTCCTTCTGTTATAAATTATTTTTAAAAAGCCATAGTAAATTTAAGACATAAAACTTCTGTTAGTCCATGATTTATAAGTACATACTGCATACAGTATAGACAAAAGCACAAAATAACACTGTTTGGTGCACTTTAACCAATATTACAGATTATGTGTTACCAATCTGGGACTAACAATCCTCCTCTCTCTCTTTTATGTGTCAGCCAGAAGGTGAGAAATCCCCCAAAAAATTTTCTGGTGCAACATAAGATCAAGATATGGAAAAGTTTGAGAATCTGTAATCAAACTTACTTTTGATTTTCATCTGGTCTTTCAAAAAATAAATTATCCAATGAGAAGACAGTGGCTGTAGGATTCAGCATTGCTCAAAATCAGACATGAATTTTCATTACACTGTAAAACAGCACAAAGTTGTATTGGGAAGAACAAAGACTGCTTTCTAAACAAATTAAGTGTGTGGGAGGGGTGGGGGTATACACACTATTTTTCACCTCTAGATTATTATCCTTGTTTAAAAAAAAATAGGTAAATTCTTAGTATGAACAGAAAACAACCTATTTCTTGACAGAATTTAAAGATTATTTATTATCAGTAATGCTATATGCCCAATACTCTAACCATTCATGTATCTTCTTATATGTTAAGCACATACTAAATGTCTGCTGGATCAAGACCTAAAATTTGTCTCTGTACCTACTGATAACAATAAACTAATAAACTGATTTTTTACCACATTTATACCCAATGTACTTTACCACAGACTTAAATATTTAATTTTCTAAAACAAACAACTGTTCATAGCTCATCTTTTCCAAAGAAAGAGAAAAATGATGTCCAGATAGAAGTCAAACATTTTATATTACCATATCACCTTTGAAAGGGAGATGAAACTAAAGATATAGTGAAAATGTGTTAAAATGTTTTATTTCAGAAGGTAATTTTAATATACCTCACTAGACTATAATTTTAGATTTCTTTTTAGAGTATTGTCTTTCACGCTGACTACAAAGGCCTTCTCCTTTTGTGGGACCTGATTCTACGCTATTCATAGTTGTTAAAAGGATGTAGTTATTTTAATTTACAAGCAGGTCGGAAAATTTTCTATATAGGATCATATTATGTGCACATTGGACTATGCCCAATCCTTTAAACACCAGGTAAGAATGTTTTTTCTTTCAGTTCTTTGCCCAGTTTAAAACTCCCTAAATTATAGTAAATATAAAATTTAAAAGAATTTACTAGAACTGAACTTAATATGTACTTAGGATATTAAATAGCTAGGACACAAAACTTAAGTTCTGCTATGAATAAAATATAGCTGTATAAACCCAAGTGCTTTCTAGGGATGTAAAAGAGTAGTCGATTAGTGGACTACCCACTAAGCCAAGACTTATTGGGTAGTCGAATGAGCTAATCACATTCTCCCTCCATCCCCTCCCCCCACATGCTGCCTGTATATGAGAGGCAGTGGGGCGGGGAGGGGGGGGGGAAAGCAGCTTAAAAGCCAATTCCCCTCAGCACTGTGGGGTGCAGGGGCCACAGGAAGACATAGCAACAGCGGTCCAAGCTGCTTCAGTTCTGGCTCGCTCTCGGTCTGTGGCTTTGCAGTTTAAAGCTACGTTGTCACTGCAGCGTTCTAGCGCAAGAAGTCTGTAGCACTAGTTTTTTGGCGCAAAGGCTTCTTATGCAAGACCATGTCCACACATCAAAGCATCTTGCTCTTGCGCAAGGTGAGCAAGTGCTTTTTTCCATAAGGGTTTCTTGCATAAGAAACCCCTCTGGAGCATCCACACTTGCCTTCTTGTGCAATAACTGTAGTGCTAAAAGCAGTTATGCCTCAGAAACGGTGGTTTACCTAGGGCGGAAAAAGCCCTCTGTTCTGATGTTAACTGCCCATTTAATAGCGCTAGAGCTCATTTGAGGTGTGGATGCTCCCCAGGTTTTGCGCAAAAACCTTGTAGTGTAAAAGTAGCCTAAATTAGGAGCCAGGCTCCCTGTACACCCGGCTCCTACTACATTTAAATGGCAGAACCGCAGCAGCCCCTTATCAACTAATCGTATAGTCATTTACTCGCTACTTAACATCCTTAGGCTATGTCTACCCTCGCGGCTTCTTGCATCAAAAGTATGCAAATAAGGCTAAGCGTGGAATATCATGGCACCTCATTTACATACCTAATGAGCCACCGTTTTTGCAGAAGAGGTTCTTGGGCCAGAAGGAGCTGTCTATATACTGCCCCTTCTTGTGCAAGAAAGGGGCAGTGCACAATGCCATTACGCCAATTATTTTCAGGAGTAACGGCATTGCGCAAGCGGGTTTTTCTTGCACAAAAAGGAGCAGTGTAGACAGCTCCTTTTGGCGCAAGAACCTCTTCTGCAAAAATGGCAGCTCATTAGGTATGCAAATGAGGCTCAGCAATATTCCACCCTTAACCTAATTTGCATACTTCTGACACAAGAACCTGTGAGTGTAGACATAGCCTTAGGCTGTGTCTAGACTGGCAAGTTTTTTCGGAAAATCATCTGCTTTTCCAGAAAAACTTGCCAGCTGTCTACACTGGCCGCTTGAATTTCCGGAAAAGCACTGACGATCTCATGTAAAATCATCAGTGCTTTTCCGAAAAACTATGCTGCTCCCGTTCGGGCAAAAGTCTTTTTCCGAAAGACTTTTGCGCAAAAGGGCCAGTGTAGACAGCATAGTACTGTTTTCCACAAAAAAGCCCTGATTGTGAAAAAGGCAGAAAAGCATCCTGCCAATCTAGATGCGCTTTTCCGAAAATGCTTTTAACTGAAAACTTTTCCATTAAAAGCATTTTTGGAAATTCATGCCAGTGTAGACGTAGCCTTAGTGTTTACACTGGTTAAAATCCCAGTCCCAATCACTTCAATGGAGTTGGGTTTTTACTGTTTTGATAGTTTAACTTTACTATTTTGAGTAGGTCCACTGAAATGTTTTGGATTTGGGTTAAGACTATGCCTAATGTGGCAGATATGCTTTTGGGCAGGTGAAGAAACAAGCAAGAGGCCAGCCAAAAGTATCCCTCTGTCAAACTACTCCAAAAGGGGAAAATTATGGGACTTAACCTAGTCATCATCCAAAGGGCAATCCAGTGGTAAAATCAAAAGTAACATACGATGATGTGAAAGAATTCAGACTCACGGTAGTAAAATAAAGCACAAATATTCACAGAATTGGAGCCCAAAACTGTACACAAATATAGGCAAGTTCATGTTTTGGGCCTGTTTACAATTTGATGTTTCAAATCAGATTTAGCAACACATTGATTCACGGTTACCTTTCAGATGTATGCTTCTGCTAAGGTTACAATTCAACTATAAATATATTGTAAAGACATTTACATCCACTGAAAAGCTATCTCAATTTAGTTTTAAAATGTTTTTATTTCAGAATATTCATGTATTTCCAAGGAAGACCCAGACCTGAAAACCTCTGTGTAGCTCAAAAGCTTGTCTCTCACTGGAACTTGATCCTAGAAAAGATCCTGTTGCTTGTTTTACAAACTGTTTATTTCTGTTAATATGCAGCACCAAAGCTTTTTCTAAGAAAAAAATCAGAACTATGAATTCCTATAAACTTTCCTATTTTTAAACACGAAAGCATATTCTTCTGTCATTCTATCAGATAAGAGGCAGCAAATGGGGAGGGGGAAGAAAGGGTACTTCAAAGTGGCAGCTCCACAGGGAGTCTGTAACCAGACTCCATGCAGTGCTGCCCCTTTGAAACACTGCCTCCGTGTTTCAGAGCAGCGCAGAACAGCACAGCACAGAATTGACCCTGGGGTCCACACAGCGCTGCTCCTTTGAAATGTTGTGACAGTGCTTCAAAGGGGCAGCACAGCACAGCTGAGCCCACACTCTGTACGGTGCTGCCCCTTTAAAAATCCCAGCTGATCCCAGATTTTTCATGGCATTTCAAAGCAGGAGTACAGCATGAAGCCTCGGGTCAGCAGGGAACTTTGAGTCCCCCACTGACCGTGGGCTCCATGAGGGCAGTTCTTCTTTGAAATGCACAAGAGCCCCCACTAGGGACTCTTGTACATGTCAAAGCTGGCACACCTCCTACAGTGGAACTACCTGCTAGCCCCAGGCTGCACATCGAGTTCCGCATTCCTACTTTGAAATGTACAAGAGCCCCAGCATCTAAGAATGGCAAAAGAGAACTCCAAATCCAAATAAGCTTTCCCATATTACACTACAGAACATTTACCCATATCCTTTTACTCTGTATCCGTTAACAGGGGAGCTAGCAATGTGATATGAAATGTGGACAATTAGAAGGCAGAAAAACCAGCTTCCCCAGTTTTCACTTTTGGCCGCTTTCACAAGTCAAGAGCCCTTTTGTTCCCACACCTTCCGAGTGTGGACATAGCCTTAGGTTTAGTCTAGGAAACTCCTTAGTGCCTCGCCTGGAACATGGCTTAGCTCCAACTGTTGGGAGCTTAAAGTTACTAATCAGCAATGGCAGGGATTGATGAGCCCTTCCCTTTGGCCTCCGAACTCTGTATGGTCACTGCCAGACACTCAATTTGGCTCTGCCCACGAGGCAGCCCGGCACAACTTTGCACCCAGCTCCTCCAATTTTTAGTTAGCGGGGGCAGTAGAGCAGCCACCTACAACCTGGCTTGCTCCGAACAGGACTCCGCGTGAAGTGTAAACTCTCCAAAGCCGCGTGCGCTGGACACTCGCCCCATCCTTCCTCCTGCGATCAACTCTCATAAAGTCGCACCCCAAAGGGCCTCCACCCCCTGCACAAGCGACGGGAGAGCCTGGTCTCCCTGAAAGATCAAGGGAGTGGGGGAGGGGGACTGGCGCTTCAACGGAGCGACCTTGAGCTACAGAGCCGACAGGCTCCAGAGCAGCTGGCGCGCCCACCCGAGGCCCAAGAGAGCTCGAGGAGGCTCAGGCCAGGAGCCTTGGCTGAGGCTGCTCTGAGGTGCGAAAGCAGCTTCAATTCTCTCTGCCCTCCGGGCTCTCGCGACGTCACTCGGGCCACGCTTGGCGAGCGCAGCCAACGTCGGTCCCCCCC